ATATAAAAAGGAAAATAAGTTTGTAGCTTTTGGATGCCCAGTAAGCTTTCTTCTTTCTTCCTTATCACAGGGACCAGATGCCCCACGGATTTTGCGGAGGTTCCGTCTATTCTGATGGAGTACTTCTCAAATGATTACCGAGTGGTCAGCCAGTTTGCCCGACATTATGAGACGGGACAGGTAGAAGAATAAAGTTTTCTCTTATTGAAAAGCTGAAAATCAGGCTCAGGGAGATACTCAGTAGAATGAACACTTGCCTGGCAAGCGCAGGATCCTAAGTTCAATCCCCGATACTGCAAAAAAGAAAAAAAAGGTGAAAATCCAAAGTCTGCCAAAATCTAAAACGTCTCCAGTGCTGCCATCATGTTACAACTGGAAATGTCACACCTGGCCTCGTGTGACAGGTCGTGATGGAAATGCAGGTGCACTAAAAATGCCACATACAGCTGCCTCTAGGCTGTGTACATCAGGCAATGTGCCTGTGAAGTGTAGCTGAATTTTGTGTTCAGACATCAGTCTCATTCCCTAGATAATTTTATCTGAAATTATGATAATTTCATAATTTTCATCTGTATGTAGATGTCCCCAAATCTGAAAAAACTGGAAATATGAGACATTTCTGGCTGTAAGCATTTGGATAAGGGATACTCAGATGGTATTGCTGTGTTTTCCTTTGGATTGTGATGATTGGGTTTTATGACTTGGATAATACGGAACGCTTGGTGCTTTCTCAGAATTCCTGCCACCCTCTTGCAAAAGCAGATTCGCTTTCACTGTTTGCCCTCCCCTGACTCCTCCCCTCCCATTGTAGAATCCAGTCCTAGCACATGCACATATGTGGGCATGAGCTGCCCTTGGTGGTTTGCTGAGTGATCTCCCACTTGCTCTTCATTGCCATCCCAGGAGACAGCACTGTGTCCCTGGTAGAGCAGCTGTCTTAGCCCAAGGCACACCTGCTTCTATGTGTTTGTCCCCTTGACCTGCATTTTTATCCTGTGCCTGTTTCCTCAGCATTTGTAGCTTGTGAAGGGTCTATATGAGACTAAATCTGAAAATGTCTTAATTTTGAGGCTTAGATTTCTATGGCACATTCAAATTTTAAAGATTTTTAGATTAAAATGAAGGATATCTTGCTTTAAGTTAGCCTTGTGTATAACTATCAACATTGGGCATCTTACTATCCATGTGTGTACTGGAAGGATGTTCTTTCCTTTCCTTATATTGCACCTCTGTTTCAAGTGTAAATTATATTTGTCACTGGGTATCTGGGCCCTACACTCCTGACTAGTACAAAAAATGAGCTAAAATCCAAAATTAAGTAAATGCAGGAACTGAATTAGAAAAAAGAGGCTTCAAACCAATTTTTATTTGTAGCACGTTCTGATTATGTCTCTAGATGATTTGGTCCTTTCTTTTTTATGGATTTGATTCTGTCACTGTCGGTTATAGGATGTTGGATGTGTGTCTGGGTAAGTAAGTCGAGTGAGTTTTCATTATAATCTTACCTCCATTACCAAGATGACAGAATTGAAATACTTGAATTAACTGACTACTTGTCATCAATCTGCAAAGAATTGCTTTAAGGATTACATAGACATAACCAATAGATAGAATCATACATGACCCACCAAATAACCACACCACTCGTCTGTAGCTACATATTTAGGGGTTCGGAAGTAACTAGAAATTTCCTAATTGTGTCTGCACTGGGGACTATTGGAGCACAACCAGCGCACCACGTGCAGGGCCACGGGAGAGCCCAGCCTGGGCTGCCTGGGCCCTGGGAGAGGCTGGGGAGACGGGGTGCTGGTAGACTGGGGCCCTGGAAATGTATGTGGGAGGGGCGTTTGCTAGTTAGCTCTTGGCAACTCTTATCTGTTTCATTAAAGGGTATTTATTGAGGACAGTGCTAACCAAGGATGTAGAGGTACTCAGTCAGAGTATTTGTTGGGTTTTTGTTATGGAGTAGTCACTATTGTCTGCAATTGAGAAACAACCATAGATAAGTATTATTATTTAGATCTAAAATGCTCCCTAAACGTCTTATGTTTGGAGGTGGGGCCGATCAGAGGAGAGCAGTTCCTGGAGGGCTGATGTGGGAGAATGTATTTTTGTCCCCAGCTCTTCCCTTTACTCTGCTTCTGGCTGCCATGGGATAAGCAGCTTCCCTCTGCCAGGCCCTTCCACCATGCTGGTTCTGTCTTGGAGCCAGCTTGCCATGGACTAATGCCACTGAAAACTGCAAGCCAGTCTAAACCTCTCCTCCTCTAACTTGTACGTGTCAGTTATTTGTCCTGCAACTGCAGGCAACTACTAGACAGCATCCCTGAGCTCACAGCTTTAATTGTTAAGAAAAATAAGACAGTCAAGGCTGGACATCTCCTTTGGGAGAATGTTCTCCTAAAGCCCTAGAGAAGTCCTCAGGGGTTCTTGGGGGGACTGCGAGGGTAGTGGGTATGACCAGAGGAGATGGGAGAGAGACAGCTGGGGTGGAGGGAATAGCCAGGCAGTAAGGGACTGTGGATCGTAAACAGGAGTTTGCACTGTGTCCTGATATGGGGGAAGCCATTAAAGAGCTTGAAGCATCAAACTTTTATTTTTGGAAATGACCCTGGTGTCTGGTAGTAACATGGCATGGAAAATGATAAGCATGAAGTCACTGTGCTTTTGATACCAGTGAGCGCTGCAGCTCCCTGCACAGGGCTGGGACAAATGCAGGGCAAGACCGCCTCTGGACACACACAGCCCTGCCCAGGATGCAGCACTGCTCTCCTCCTGGCTCACCTGGAGCCGTCTGAGCTGCCCTGCCCTACCTTGTGTGTGGGGATGGTGCGCCCTTCTGCACCCCTCTCCCCAACACCTTCTAATCCCAGTCTCAGGTCATTGCCCAGCACTGAGTGAGTTCCTCATTGTGGTCCTCGTGGACCTGCTGCTCTGGCCCGCTGCCTCACCTGTTTCTTTTCAGCCCTTGGCAGCCTGCATCCCGGATGCCAGCAGGGCCCTGTTTGTCCCTCAGCAGGGCTCCAGACAGGCTTACAGACACTCACGAATGTGGCCTAAGACCGGTAGAGGGAGCTGAGTCCACTGGGGTAGCAGGGTGTGGGGACACAAGGCAAAGGTAGAGACTGCTTCTCGGAACTGTTGGTGGGGCTGGGGAGATAGCTCAGTAGAGTAAGCGCTTGCCTGGCAAGCGCAAGGGCCTGAGTTCAATCCCTGGTTCTGGAAAAAAAAAGAACTGTCGGTGAGGGGTGAGGGTCAAGCTGGAGAGTACAGTGGTTGAGTTCTTGTTTTGGGATATATTAGCCATTGCTGACATAAATCAAGTCTAGGAGTCAAAAAGATACTATAGTCAGGTGGGAAAACATGATATAAGTATAGGAAGTTCACAGTCATACCTGGGGAAAAAAGCAGGAGATACTAAAGAAGCCTTTGAACACAGCTAGGAGGAGGACATACTTACAAGAAGAACTGCAAAAAGGATCAATGTCTTTAAGTAAAATCTTGAC